GGTTGGAATTATCAAAGGTTTTTGACACCTGAGAGACACCGTAGCAACTCCTTTGTGTTTGGAGGCGGGGGATGGGGGGAGGACCAGGGAGGATGATTCAACCACTCAACCACTAGATGTCGCTAAAAACAGCAAATCCTACACATTGTGCCTTTAACTGAGAATACGCTGACAGCGGGAGGAGGGTCCAGCTGCAGTCGCTCTGGTACCGGTACCGTTCAGTCGGAACAGCTGATCAACATGTGAGGTAAATGTCCGCTACGTCAGAACGTATTTGGCAAATGTGTTTCCATATTTCCTTTTGCGCGTTAACTCTTTTTCGAAAACCCCAAAAACCACCTCAAGCGAGCGTATCGACTTTTATGCGAATTAGAGGTCCATTCACCTTTTCTGATGCAATACTTCAAAATGCACATTAAAAAAAACTTTGATGGAAACACGGCTACTGGTAGTGATCAAACTCTCCTTCCAATGCTGCGTTCAGACTGAATGGGATTTGAGCGTCATGGTTTACATAAAGTCTATGGTGGATGTGCTTCGGGGGTGTCTAGTTTTGACCGTTTGACACGCGTTCAAAAGGAGCGGAAACTTGAGTTGGAAAATCTGAAATTTTGCAACTCGACATGGAGCGTCAACCAATCACACTCCGCTAAGCGACATAGTGGAGCATTTTCCGACGGGGCGGTCTCTTGAATTATGCCCACTAACCTGAGACAGATGGACAGGCCCTCTTCAGCTGAAACTGAGTGCTTGTAGTTGATGTCCTAGCAGGAGATGCAGGTCAGCGGCTCTTCAAACTGGAATCAGGACTAAAATAGTGCTGAAAGCGAGCATCGTCAAGCTTGCAGCTCCTGGTGGTGAAACTCACCAAATTTATTACRCATCTTAATTATCTGGTGACTCCAGACACGGCACAGAGGTGCCTGACGACATTCTCCAGCTTTCAGTAAAAAAAAAAAAAGTCAAGCCACTCTCACAATTTCACCTGTCATTGAATGTACAAAGAGGCCAGCATAGCAGAAAAAAAAAAAAAAAAACACCATTAGTCAAGAAGTTTGTCTTGACGTGCGTCTGACTTCAAAACGTACATGCATCCAACTTGGGGCACTTGTCGCGTTTTTGACGCACAAAACGTGTTCAGTCTAAACGCAGCATAAGTCAAACCAAAGGATATGACAGCTTCCATCTTCATATTTTCATCCATTTAGAACTTCTGCTTTTATATTTAATAACTGGACACAGTGGTTTGTAACAGGACTCCCAATGTGCTTGTACAGGACGGGAGCTTTCAATAAAGTGAGAATTTGCCATCGCCTGGCTTCTTTAGATAACTTTTACCAATTGGCCTTTTATAAAGTATGTGAAGGTTTGTCCAGGGTTTTATGGTGATCTTAGTTAATGAGAAGTTCTGAACTCTGTTCTTCCTGATGTGGTTGATTCTTCTTTACATGGATATTTTATACTCTATTGCAGGTGATAGGTCCTAATAAAACCTCCGACTGCAGAACACATCACGTATGCTTCAAGGTAAAAATACCAAAGATTAAACGAGACACAGAAATATGGATTTCACATGATTGCATATTGATTAGCCTCCATCACTCCTTTACTCATACAAATGGATTTTCTGATATGCACCTTTGTGTACCTAGAGTTGTGAAACCCTCAGGTTGGTGCGCCTCACAGAGCTTAGCCCAGCCACTGTGAAGCAGTGGAACAAGATTCTTTCCCCTGGGGTCTTCACTCTGTCCCTACACCCACGGGTCACTGAAAATGGATCACATAGAAACTTTTCTGACACACGGATTCCTCTGGGCAACTGCCATCTCCTTCATTTTTTTCACCATCTTTACAGTTGTTAGAAGAGTCATAAAGATGGATGTATTTCCTGACAATCTTTGTGAACTGTTTCTTAAAGCTATCCATCTTGCAAGCACAATAGCCGGTTTCCAGAAGTGTAGTAATTGAGGCAAAATGACAGCATCATGCATTACGTATAAACCAACATGAATTACCCACAAAATTCTGACCAATCACACAAAACTTGACATATAACCTGTAAAAAAAATCTGCGCAAAAGGATTGAGCACAGAACGGGTTCTTCGAGTTGATGCGAGAAAAAAAATACACCATTTTTGTCACGCAACCACATCAGCTAGAAAATAACTCAGCACTTCTTATCAAGTATAAATACACTTTTAGTGAACAAAGTGACCAAAAATCTGATGATTACTTCAAAGATTCTGCATGAAAATGAGACCGGGTTAGAGGACGACAATCAGAACTGCAGGCCTCCACTAATCTGGACTTCAGTGTAGAGTGGCTCTCCTCAGAGTGAAACCTACAACTGAACAAAATTCTCTGATCTGAACCATTCAAAGCCAGGTGTTGGCAGGTGTACGGCTGAACTTAAAACGCATAACAGTGAAGTGTCACATTTGAAATGTGAAGAAAATCACGAGTGAAATATAGAGCTGTCAATGGTAAGAATAAAACGCCCGATTTCATCTCTTCTGCCAAAGAGTGACGGTAAACCCAGTTATAATAGAAAAAAAAAATCAACGCAATGAGGAAAAATCTCACAGTTAAAATGTCAGTTTTTGGTTAAATTTGTTTATTAAAAGCCTTGGAAAATTGGAAAGTAAATAAAACCATACAGAACGGAACTATAGATTTTACTTTCGCAAGTAATTTTAAATAAAAAGTGGGTAAAAATTTTAAAACTAAAACAAAGTCACACTGGAACTTTTGGGGTCATGCCAACATGTGTCGCAAATCCTAAAGACTGTACAATATTCCACACCAAGTTTATATTAAAGCACTTCTAAACTTTTATGGTACTCAGCATTTTTTTAAATCAACAAGCTGGGCTTCAATCGTTTGCTTGGAAATGCCACATAACGATAAAAAAATCCCTTGTTACGGAAATCCATCAGCTTTCAAAATGCCAATTTTTTAAATGATTCTACCTTAGCGTGTGTAATAATTGGTGATGAACAGAAGGCTACTGCGGCACACTTGGATAGACTGAACACCTATTCTGCAACACAAGTCAAAAACTAAAGTAAAAGAAAAAAATCATATGAACACCCCTGGAGAAGTGTAGAGGTGAAATCGTTAAGTTTTTAGGCAAGGGGCAAAATCTTCCAGTAAGTCTCAGGCGAACGCAACGCAATCCGCCATAGATGTGGTGGGTGTATAGCGCCACGTGTGTCAGCAGACGACGACGACGACGATCTTGTCATATTTTAAACCTGGAAAGAGAGCACACCACACATGTCAAGGAGCGCGTTTTACTCAGGAATCGCGCAAGATTGGTTGAGTTCAACACAGCAACATTTGTAGATTGTAGCAGCATCGCCTAAAGGTTGTATATTGATTTGATTTCTGAAGAAGTTAAGCAGGAACTTAACGTTGTTATAGTAATGAATTAAGACGTGAATATATCAAACCATACCGATTTAAGTCTCAATTTTCACACACATCGGAGTATTTTCTCATTGTTTTTAAGAGTTAATGTGATTTGTGGTTTTAAAAGATCCAATGCTCTCACCTTGTTGTCTAATATCCAGCATAGCGAGGTGGTGGCGGAGGGGGTGGTGCTCTCTCAGAATAGGGATCCCTGGGACGAGGAATGGGGTACGCTGGAGCCCTGGACACCGGTGACAGCCGAGAGCGCTCGTAGTACCCGTTACCAGCCGAAGGAGTAGGGCTGATCAGGACTCTCCTGATGGGGCTCCGGTCCCTGATCGCATAAGACGGAGGAGGTGGTGGGATGGGCCGCCTCTCGTACGGGTCAAGGGACCCCGCTCCAAGTCTTGCTCTAGCCAGAGTTGAAGTAGGAGGCGGGGGAGGGGGGAGGGAACGCCTGTCATCGTAGCTTGCGGCACTGTAAGGACGGGCTCGGTATTTCTCGTAGTAATCCACCATACTGTAGGGATCTCTGTCACCGTAGCCTCGGTCGAGATAAGGGGGTCGTCTCAGGGGAGGGGGTGGTGGAAGAGGGGGAGGAGGAAGAGGATAAGCAGACATGCGACCTCTGTAGGGGGGCTCAGGTCTTGGCCCTGGGTAGGGAGGAGGATAATAGCCCCCAGCGCCTGGAGGAAGTGGATAATCCTCCATTTCCTCCTCAGGACCCCCTCTCGGCCTGCTTTTTGATACCTGAACGTGAATGTGCTTTCCTAAAAAATAAGAAAAAAAAAGATTTTGGTCATCAGATTTAAAACGTATCTCACTGGGCTGAAACTGTTGGAAACTTGCTGGGGCCTAGGGCTGCATCATATTAGAAAATCATGCAATAACAAGAATACTTGAAAATCTTGTAATGGCAAGATCAGGCGTAATATATACCGTATCTTTTTATGAATACATCGGGTCTGTGTACAACACCGTAAATTTACCAGTTGAATTTGTACAATTCCATTTATTATTTTATATATATTCCTTATATCAGGGTTCATACAGGTTTCTGTAAGTTAAGTTTAAGACCTTTTAAGACCATTAGGAATGACATTTAAGACCAAATCGACACATTAACAGAAACACTCAAATGGTCCCAGAAATTTTAACATAGAAAGAATATTTAATTTAATAAAAGAATGCTATATTATTTTAATGAAACGGTCATATCCATGAGACCTTCCTATCAACTGCTGTGGACCGCTTCCAACCGAGTGCAAACATCCCAGATCTCAAGCCAAGTCTCATTGAAAACACACTTTCCCATGTTTAAACGACAAGCAGTGGACATGACTGAATTTCTTTGTTTTTTGGGCGGGCCAACAAGCCGCTCTATGCAGGGGGTTTTAAATGGCAAAGAGGTTGAAAACATGGAAGTAAACTGTGCTGATTTTTGCCTGCAGTTGTCACAGGATTTGTAGTTAAACGCGTACGAACACCGGTAGCAAACAGCACTTCATGAAGACAGGTCRCGCCAACCTCTGATTACAGTGCTTTACCGTTTATTTACGCAGCCAATGCTTCTCGGGAATGATCAAAATTTAAAAAAAATTAAGGCCTGACAAAATAAAATTTTAAGACRGATGAAAATCTGGGCGTTTTAAAGACTTTTTTAGGCCTGAAATTTAGATTTTAAACTTTTTTAGACTTTTTAAGACCCTGCATGAACACTGCTATATTTAAGGCTGCATACTATAAATTTTAGACACAAAAGTATAATGACAACATTAAGATAAAATGAGGTTTTCTTCACGTTCAAAACTCAAGTGACAAGGCTGGAAGCTGCTGCCCTGCAAACATTTWAAAAATTTGGCAACTCCCTCACAAATTATTTGCCAACAGCTGCAGCCAAGTGAGATATTTGTTTAAGACCTTAAGCAAATATATAYGCACACAAAATACACTACACAACAAAACTCACCCATAAAGTCGGTGTTGTCCATACCCTGCAGAGCATCCATGGCCTCATCATAATTGGTCATGTGTACAAAGGCAAAATTCTTAATGATGACACACTCTATGACTTCACCGTACTCCTCAAACCGATCCCGGAGCTCCTTATCATGGCCTCTTTCTACATTAGATATGTGGAGCTTCACGGGACCCTGGTTCCTGCCTTTGCTGGGCTCCACGTTGATCGGTCTGCCATCCAGCTTGTGCAGATGGAGCTCACGGATGGCCTTGGTGGCGCACTTCCGGTCGTCCATGTGGACGAACGCGTAGTTTTTGTATTTGGCGCATTCCGTGACTCTGCCGTACTTGGCGAACAGAACTTCGATTTCATCTTTCTCGGTGTTGGGAGAGAGGTTGCCGATGAAAATCTTCACCATCGTTACTTCAGTGAACTTTTCTACAAGATACAACACACAGAAGCACACGGTGACGGACACCAGTCATGAATAAATGGCGAATCGACGTTAAGAATATCCGAAATGGATGGTGCCTATCAACAAAGTCTTAAAAAGTCATTATATAATTTATTAATATTGCCGTGTATAGTGTTCACTTTTAAAATAAAATGCCTAAAATCAGTAGATGGCCCGAAATTTCTCGAAAACGAAAGCTAGCTCGTTGGCACTTCCTGGTCATGGAGAAGCTAACATTTTTAGCCTTTCGTTTCTTCATTAGGTTGCATTAGCTAAAGAATTAAGGTCTAATTCAGCTAGCCACATGCAGTTATAATTATAGATATGTATAAAGTAAAATATGAATCGATAATAAGCACCATAACAAATACTCACGATTTCTGAACAGCACGATTATGTCGAACCGAACGACACTTAAACAATGAGCTAAAACCAATGTGTCTGGCGGTATGCGCACAGGAAGAAATCTGATTGGAGGATAGAAATGTCAGTCAAAGTGTCTGTGCTGTGATTGGATGGGGTTGATTTATGGCACGGGATGAGGGACAAAATTCTTAACTCCGCTTTTCCGGTGACGATCAAGAAAACAAGCGTTTTTTTGTTTGAGTTTTGGCAAACTAGAGATTGATAATGTCCTGAATGCTTTAAACTTTATATATTATTATACATTATATAAAATTTATTACCGCTTAACTAAATGTTCGCTATATTTATGTTGTTTCAGTGCAGTTTTGTAGCCTACATGACCAAGAATTTAGTATTCAATCATTCTCGGTGCCATATTTTTCCACTGTGAACAGTCACAACAGTTTTATGCACACTTTGCAAAAATGCTTGCAGCCATATGCTATTAAGGACACAACTAAAGTTGTTTGTGTCCTTTTCTTAAAGAAAGAAAATTTACAAATGTCACTGAAATAAATTAACAAAAGTAAATCTTTTTATATATAAAAAAAATTTCATTGGAGGTGTTTAAGCCCACTCTTTATGAGCAAACTGCTCCAACTACWATACCATGTTTGAAGGTTTCTGCTTGCTCCTTCCAGAGATGTTCAACAGGATTTAAATCAGTACTCAGGGTCACTTCAGAGTTTTATTCTAAGCTATTCTTGGATGTTTTTAGCTGTGTTTCAAGTTATCCTGCTGCAGGACCCATGACCTGAGACTGCTTGACACTGGCAGTGGCGCCTGCAGAATTCTTTTTCAGGGGGGCCATGGGGG